ACAAAGCTGTACAAGAACTTGCAGAATATGATGGATATATTACCACAGTGGTCAAATCCTTTTGATTTGCACAAATGCATTCTTGGCATGAACCTTCATACAGTCCTCTTTTAGCTGCTTGCTTTTCTGGTTCCAGTAAACTTTGCTGTCTTTCCTTGTTGCTCTTGGAAATCTGTATTCAATCTCCTTGCTTCTTCTAATATTACACTGCTTTGACTGGTTTTCTTTGCTTGTCTACTCTGATGGTTTCATCTGAGAGCCACTTTTGCATTTTTCTGGTTTCTTGTCTATATTCAACTGCTGATTTCAGTGATAGTTGATTACATTTCTTGCTACAGTACATTAGGAACCTTCTAAGCTATATCCAGCAGTTCAAACCTATTTTTCATCTCAATTGTATACTTAGAAGGGATTTTGGTGGTGTTAAATTTCTTTGGTTGTTTAGTAGTTCTTGTTAAATTCTAAAATTTTCCAAATTTTTATTTAGGATTGGCGAATCCACGTGGATCAAATGCATCAGCACCAAGATGGAATTGAATCAGCTTTAAAAGATACCCGTGTAAGTCTGATGTGTAATTAAAAAGTGACATCCTGAATGACATTGCAGCAATTCAGCTACTGCATGTTATTAATTAGTTGTATGTTGTTAAATTATTAACAACATTATTGTGACAACATTCTGTTGTTACATTATTTCCACCAAGGATTGCCAAGGCCTATAACATCAGCTTTCTCTTTCTCTCTCAAATCACTTCTAAAGAATAAAACCTATTTTTCCCCAGGCATCTCTTTTCCTTTAGAATTGGGATGTCTCTGCTAACAAGCTATTTTTATATGATGCCTATTTTAGGAGACTTCTGTCAGTAACTGGGTTTGGTCAACATGTTTGCAAGATTTTCCTTTCAAATAAGATTTCTGCACTGTTTTGAGATTATCAGTGTTTTCCTGTGAAAGAAATTAGCTGGTAATCATTAAATGGTGCTAACCTCTGAGGTGAAGGCTTGACCTATATTAAGATTTAAAACCTTAGGGTTCCTAATAATTAAATTTAATATTAAGTTTTTGACACCTATGAAGAGTAGATGAACATTGTACAACTAACTGTCCACTGTTTGCTCTCATTCTGAGATACAGACAGTTGCAAGACCTTTTTTATTAGCGTATTCATTGTTTTACTTTTAAGCAGAACAACAAATATGAATAATTGTTGAGGCTACAGAAGTGTTTACAGTGTCCAGGTGCACGGTGATAATTATTTTACATTCATAATTAAATGATTCAGAATATTTAACATACATCCCATTTCATTATTTAAATTTTTCAAGTGCAAAGTAATTGAGAAACTAGAGTGTCTACCCTGGTTTTAGTGTTAGGATTTATTTTATGTTCCTTGATACAAGTAAACTTAAACTGGATAGAAAAATAGCATAAGTACATTGGATCCAGTGTTGGATATTTTTAGTATTTCAAAATTTGACAATATTTTTTCCAGCATAGTGTTACTGTGTTGGAAAAAGTATTTCAAAAAATATAAACATTACCTAAAATGTTGTTGTCCTTGTATTTCTGTAATGTTGCAGATGTGATTTTAAAACTTGATACAGTTTTCAAAGCCTGTTTAGACATGGAACATGGGCTGATGTTCAAATGAAAAAGTGTTAAAAGAAATTCCATTGGACATGAACCAACAGTTCAGCAGAACTTTAGATCCCAATTAATTTCAGTGATAATTAATGTGCTTCTCAAACTTTTACAGGGTTATCTTGACAAGCTTCACAATGAAATCAGCAGAACTCTGGAAAAGGTTAGCAGTAGAGAAAAGTATATTAACAATCAGCTGGAGCATTTGGTTCAAGAATATCGTTCTGCACAGGCACTTTTGAGTGAGGTAATCTATTTTGCTTTTTAAAGTATTTTTACAGTATTGTGCTGCTGCTGCTATTGCTAGCTGAATGTTTTATACTGTATGTTTTATATTTATATTATAACTCAACTCATAAAATATAGCAAATGTTCACATTTAGCATTGTTCCTCTGAAAGGAGACATTTTCATAGAAATTCAGCACCTGATTAAAATATTTCCTAACATTTCTTCCTCTTCCTTCCCCCAAACAGGCCAAAGAAAAATATCAGCAAGGAAGTGGTGGTGTGACAGAGAGGACAAGAATTCTGTTGGAGGTACAGCTTGTTTATCTTAGTATTACGTCAGATATCAAGTAAATGCATATGTGTTTCCCCTCATATTTAAATATGGTGAAAATAATAGTGTAATTGTGGGGATTTTTGTTATTTCCAAAAATCTGGTAGAGATCGATAGTCATGGGGACTGCATTTTCCAACCATTGGGAGGGTGGTTTTTGGTACAGCTTCTGAGTTCAAGAACTCCATGGCAACTGTTTGTTCCAAGTAATCTCAGCGTCGTGACATATGAGTGGGATCCTGCTGTATCATCATCTAAGCAGATCAATCTGGAAATGGAGATTAGTTATATCTGTCCTTTGCAATATTGAGATTTGCTTCTTTGTTGAAATGGGATCTCATGGCTCTTCTGGATTTCTGCATGGTCAAAATAGATCACTCTTAGGCACCCAATGAACAACCCTTCCAAAGGGTTTCCTGATAATTTGACAGGCAGTTCTGTCTCACATTTAGTCAACCTTTGGAATATGAAAACAGCCAAAATATTCAGTAAAATTATTCCTTTAAGGCTTCTGCTCAGTCATTGATCCCATATGTTTATTGCACTGAGAGAAATGAAGCAATTGAAAAGATGCCCAGAGTAATGGTAGCACGAAATCTGAAGTGGCTGCAACTAAGCTCTGATGAGGCTCAAGCCTCAAGGCTCCGTAATTGTAAGAAGAGTGGCAAAACATGAGTTCTTTATACTTTCAGCATCCAAAGATTCCTGCCTCGATTTTCTTCATGTTATAAGGATCATTTAGGGAAGGCTGTGTCGGAGAAGACACCTTCAGGTTTACTAGTTGATTTTAAGCATTTTGGGGCAGTTAATCCAATGTGACTAATGAAATGAGATCTTGTGTTGTTATCTAGTATTTATTTGAGCTTATTGACTCCAGAGAAATTATTAAGATCCTCTGTAGTTTGTTTTCTGCTGTCACTTTGTTCCATGTTTGGCTGATACCTTCAGACATTTGGTGAAAGGTGATCTCCTCCTCCATGCTGCATCGAGAGCCCAGGATGGGTTGACTCCTTCCTATGATGTCATAGCTGAGTCTGTACTAAGATATAAAAGCCAGCCTCCGGGAGAGACCCCAGCTTTTGACTCAGCTTCTTTCAGTCAGTTGCTGTGTCTGTGAAAGCGTTCTGTTAGATAGCAATCACCAGCGATCTTCAGTACTTTTTTCCTCTCTTCAAGCAGCTCCCAGGGATCTGGGCAGCTGCTCTTTCAGGAGATCCCTGCAACGTTGGGAGCAGTTTCACAGAGCTCTGTGCAGGCAAGCTGGGCAGCATCTGCAGACCTCCCCCATGCCTGCAGTTTGGAGCGATTGTAAACACGATCGGCAAACTGATAAGAGCTCAAGCCAACTGATTGTATAGCTGGTTGCTGTGTTTTTCCCTTGCTGACTTCGCTCAGGGGCTCTGTATAGCCTAAGGAGCGATTCTTCAATCTTGGAGCCTGTTTTCCTGTAGTCAGCGGCCATCTTGGATTCAAGCCTTCCAGCATGAGGTGAGCGGCCATTTTGTAAGCCCGGGGGCCATTTATACCCTAAGGGGCTTAATAGAAAAATTTCTAAACAGCTTCTTTCCAATGCAAGAGCCTTTATTTTACAAATGGAACAAGATAAGACTCTGGCAGAGCTTTCCCCCCCCAGTGGAAGAGTCTCTTAAGCCCAATAGAAGAAAAAGACGTAGGCAATGCACCCAATCAGTCCAGAGGGAGGTGGCTGCTAAAATCAAAGCTAAGGCTCTTGCCCCTAAGAAGGCAACTCAGGCTGAATTGAGGGCAGAGAAGCGCAGACATACAGCTCTAGAGAGGCAGTTCAACAGAACTATTCAACAGAAGGGAGTGCAACTACAGCATGTTTCAGGTGATACTCGTGGGCCCCAACCAAGCCCGCCCAGGGGAGGAGAAGTTATCTATGAGCCTTTCTATCCTCCATCCGGGTCTCCTGAGGCTCTTGCTGTACAGTCAGATCCTCAGGATTTAAACAGAAGAAATAGATCTACAGAGGACGCTAAAGCCATCACTCTTCACACTGCTCTGACTCATCTAGAACAGCAGGGGAGGGGGTATGTGGGGATGCTTTTTATAGATTTTAGTTCTGCATTTAACACAATTCTTCCACTTAGACTAATGTCTAAACTTCTGGACCTTTGACTTTCTTATTCAATCTGCCTTTGGATTATGGATTTCCTGTCTGGCCATTCACAGGTCAGATTAGGTAATCATACTTCTTCAGCCCTTATTCTTAACACTGGTACACCACAGGGTTGCATGTTGAGTCCCTTACTCTATGCTCTTTATATGCATGACTGAATTCCCACTCATGCTAGTAATACTATCACTAAATTTGCAGATATAACAGTGGTGGGACTCATCTCCAGTGGGATGAGTCTGTCTACCGAGATGTGGTGGACTGGTTGCTTTCGTTCTGTGGAGACAATAACTTGGTCCTCAGCACCAATAAGACCAAGGAGCTTATAGTAGACCATAGAAGGAACAGATCCAACATCCAGACCAAGTGGAGCAAGTGGACAGTTTTAAGCTGGTGACTTTCTACTGCTGCACCATAGAGAGTATCTTAACTTACTGCACCTCTGAATGGTTTGCCAGTTGCACAGTGGCAGATAGGACAGCATTCCAGAGGGTTAACATCATTGCCCAGAATATCATTGGTTGCCTTTTCTCCTCTTTGGAAGAGCTTTATAGCTCATGCTGCCTTAAGAAAGTTCAAAACATTCTCAAAGATCCATCTCATCCTGGGCACCCTTTTTTGAACTATTACCATCTGACAGATGGTACATAATAATAAAAACAAGCACAAATAGGCTGAAAAACAGCTTCTGTCCCAAGGCAGTAGCTCTGCTGAATTCTACTGTATAGTGCAGTGTTGGTGCGGTGTAGGGGGTTTTCAATTCAATGTGTGGAGTGTGAAGGTGTGTTTGTGTTTATTTTCATGGTCATGATATGCACTGAAGATGATTTTTTATTTCATTGTATGAGGTGCAATGACAATAAACTAAAAAAACCAAAATCAATAAAATTTAATTACATTAAAATAGTGGTGCTGGGCCACTACTTCAGTCCATTATATATGGTGTTTTACCATATTTGTGACAAGATTTGTAACTTGTGGATGTGGATGCCTGATTGAAAGTAAGCAATGGGTTTATCCTGAAGTATTCATGAAAGCTTAGTTATAAGTTGTATGATTTGAAATTTAGAGCACTCTGAATGGACACTTGAGAATTCTACTTCTGTCAGTTCTCTCCCTGAAGCCAGTTCACTGACCTCAATTAAATGATTTACTGTACTCTGCTTCTGTGAAATAGTTCAGGATGAATGAATTACTGATTTTCCTTTTCAAATAACTTAAATTTTATAAGATATTAATGTTAAAGAAATGAATGTACGATATATAACTTTACATGACTAAAAGGCAGGGCCTCTAGTGAGTGTTTCATCAGAATCAAATCAATTTATGTAATAGACTTTACTAATTTATCTACTTTGTATTGTTGATTATTATTCTGCATTAAGAATTGAACAAGATATACACATGTTTTAATTATGTCAGTAGACGGAAGAAGTAAACCTTGGGTATAAAGTTTTTTTTAATAGAGTCAATATAAATATGACCTATTAAAGCAAGAATTGTAATTCATAAGAATCATCCTCTGAAAAAGCCCCTGAACATGATATTACTATCATAGATAAATGAGGTTGAAAAGGTTTGCTGTGGTGGCATAGTGAATAGAATGTTGTATTGCAGGCTAACTCTCCCCGCTGTCAGGAGTTTGATCATAATGGCTCAAGGTTGACTCAGTCTTCCATCCTTCTGAGGTCAATAAAATGAGGATCCAGATTCATGGGTACAATATGTTGACTCTGTAAATAACTTAGAGAGGGCTGTAAAGCACTGTAAGGCAGTATATAAGCCTAAGTGCTATTGCTGTTGCATGTGAAATTCAGAGGCACAGTGCTGTTTCTCTGCTTATTCATACATTTCATACATTCAAACATGAAATAGTTTTATCCTTCCAGTGAGGTTCTCTGTTTCAGTTATACTAAACTTGACAAAACATTAACTATGATTTCTGCATTTAGGTATCATCTTAGTTTTTTAGTGTATAGTAGTTCTTTCATATACCTTCCTAAGTTTGTTGGACTTCTGTGGGCTTCAGTAGGGCAGTTTGCAATATTAGAAGTTTTTTTCTATTAATATGTCATAGTTATGTATTCCTCAGCAAGGGTCAGTTGTCTGAGTGTGATTCATTTACCCTCTTCCATTTTCACTTGATTTTAAATTATGTTTACTTTATTAAGCATGGAGGCAGAATGGCATAAAAAACCCAGAGCTGCTTCAGCCAGCCTGTTCTCCATCTGTTTGACTTGGCTGGCTGCCACAGCAATCCTGCTCTTTCCACCCACAGTCTCTTGCCAGCTGGAATACCTTGCTCTGAGGTGGTTATGGTAGCTAAGTAATCCTTATTTGTCTCCCACTTGAACTGGCCACTGCATCTTGCCAAATGGCAGGTTTACTTTGGGGAATCTACTTTACTGAAAATAATGAAAAAGCAAAACTACCGACATTATGTATATATGCATAATGTAACTGGAGTATCTCTAGCCGTCCTATAAAGAGAAATTCTCAACAGCACAAACTGCATCTAAGAGATAAGAAAACAGACAATCATTACTTAAGGAAGGATAATGGGTCTTTTTTCCCCTCTTAGACTGCAAATATTCTAGCTACTTACTGCGCTTTTGACATTCAAGATTATGCCAGGTTGTAGAGGCTGCTACAACAGCAACAGCCAGATGTTAGTCTCTCAATGAACAAAATTACCTTCCTCAAGCTGCTGTTGCTGATATTTTTCACAGTTTTGGATTCTGGTGGCTTTCCCACCTCTTGTGTTCCAACACTCACACTGTTTCTATTTGAGTGAAACTGCAAGTAGTCCTTAACTTATAACCATTAATTTTAATAATTATTCAAAGTTACAATAGCACTAGAAAAAGTGAGTTATGACCGTTTCACACTTATGAATGTTATAGCATCCCCATGGTCACGTGATCAAAATTTGAACGCTTGGCAACTGGCATGTATTAATGACAGCTGCATTGTCCTGGGGTCATGTTTTTGTTACCTTCTGTCAAACAAAGGGGAAGCCAGATTCACTTAACAGACTTAACAACTGCAGTGATTCACTCAACAATAAAGGGCAAGAAAGATTTTAAAATGGGACAAAACTCACTTAACAGCTGTCTTGCTTAGCAACAGAAATGTTGTGCTCAATTGTGTCATAAGTCGAGGAGTGTATTATTTTTTAATGCTAGATGTCTGCTTCGCAAATTAGACCACACTATGAATCATGGTTTACTGTCCTCAGTGGTTGACTTCATACAACCCTCAAAGTTCTGTGTACTTGTAGAATATTGGACACCAATATGTTTGATTCAGACATGTTCTTTGATATGTATGCTCCATGCCTCACCTATTTTTTTAAAAAATAATTAATTAAAAATGGAAATAATATGCATGCTGTAAAGTCTAGCCTCAAATATTATCTTAATCTGGGCATCACATTGACTCTAGAGAAAGACTTATAACATAAAAATGAAACATCACTACTATTCTGATTGAAAGTATGGCCATCTGCCAAGTTAAACAGTGACAGGTAAACAGTTAATAGAGAAGATGGTGAGCAATTATCTTGCTCTTTTAATTTTTTATTAACATGTAAATATTTTGTAACAGGCCACACCCTTATTGTAGCCATTTGTAAGCGTGCCCATCTTCTGCTCTAAAAAAGTAAATATAATTCAAAAAGGCTACGTATTGTTTACAGAATGCAAACCTAAGCAAACCACCTCATGTTTTAATACGATATTTGAACCCAGAGGATTTCTTGATCTTTGGGAACAAACAGCTTTAGAGATGAGCGATACTGGTTAGGAGATGGTTTTCAAAACAGAACTTGTTTCTTCAATAAGTGAAGCTGTTTTACCTGATTTGCTACTTACTTTTAATTTTTGAGAATACATAAAAGAAGGGGAAAAGTAGAGAAAATAAAACAAGTCCATTCTCTGTAAAGTTTTCAAATGAGTAGAAATTTGTATTTATTTCGGAATACCAAATAAAAAACCGTGCAAGCCTGATTGTGCTGTACTTTCTCCTCCTTCCTATACTTATGTGAATTAGAGAAACACCTGTCTAAAGCACTTCCAAATGTTATCTTGTTATGGACCTTCAGCCCCTTTTGCTTAGCAATGGAACCTACATATCTCTATCAAGATCATCTTCCTTACTGTCTATACCACTGTCCAGAGGCAGCACCTTGAATTGTAACCAGAAGTCTACTAGAACTTAGTTCAGTTCATGAAATCGTAGTGTTACATAGGTGTACTGAAGGGTCCATTAATACCAATCCTCCTGTATTTTGGATCATTTGCAACTTCTGGATGGTCTTCAAGGACAAACCCATGTACAGCACATTGTAGAAATCTATTTGGGAGAAGGCCGATGCATGAATGGCCATAAGCACGGCCCATGACTTAGAAATGATAACAATTTGAGCACAAGATAGCTTGTGCAAAACTTTCCTGGCCATGTCCCCCATCTGTTCTTCAGGATCTATATAGAGTTCAGGGGGACCCATAAAATTTCCCAGAAGTCTGAGTGAGGAAATAAAGCCCCATCCAGAACCAATCTGGAAAGTCTCCTGGCGGGGTCACAAACTCACACCTCTCCAGTCTTCCTAGAGTTAATTTGAAAACTATTCTTCCTCATCTAGACCCTCACAGCCTCCAGGCACATTTTAATTAAAAAAATAAATACTTTTTTATTCTTTTGAACCCAGCAGAATATACATGCTTTCTTTACCCTGTTTTAGAATCAGAGTATTTTTACAGTGCAATTTTTAGCACTGTTTTTTATTTGTGTGGTTCTGTAAAGGGGGGGACTACTCTAGTTAGTTGAGCCTCTCCCATTATGTTCAGTGAGCTTAGTATTTCACCATTCTGCTTTGTTTTATACTTTTAGTTTTTCTGTTTGCTCTATGAAGAATTTAGGTTGACTTTTGGAAATCTGATGCTCAACTCTTTCACAGAGCAGAAGGGAGTCAATTTAACTCCAACAACAATTTAATAATGTAAAGAAAATAGGTTTTTCTGGGTAGAAGAGAAAGAGTTATCCTTAACTTCAAAGTAAAAGTATTTAAAGCCTGTTATTCTTTTTATCTAAGATTACTGAAGAATTAGAGAAAGTAAAACAAGAAATGGAAGAAAAGGGGAGCAGTATGACTGATGGAGGTAAGGCATTCTGAGGTCTTTTCTTGAGATTTTCTCCCGAATATAGGAAAATACCTCAGTGTATTTACTCTTGATGGATATACCTAGACTATTTTCTTGGCAACATAATAGAAATGCTTTGACACTGCTGCCTTCTGGGATGTTTTAATTTGTATAACAGGTACAAAAATAGGCTATTCAGCTGTGAAAAGATAAACAGAAGATACTAGTTGCAGTTTAATTCTATTTTTATATCTCCACAAACCTTAATGTTGTCTGGAAATAAGATGTAGCAGGTTTCTTGTTTATTGCTGAATCAGGTTTGTAGTCTTTTTAAGATTGGGAGGGTTACTTACTTCTGAAGACATTGATAAAGTAAATAAAGTTGATAAAAATACAGTGAGATAATATGCAGGCATTTTTCAAATAGAACATTCTGTGTTATCTCTTTAGCTACTGGGAATATATGTACATTTTTAATATATATCTTCAGATCTAAAATGTCATGAAGATGGAAAATACATTATGTTTTATAAGTAGATTTGATATGAAATGATAATTTATAAAATAATTCCAGAATATTGTCATTCTTCTGTTCATTTATCTCTCTTGATTAAAAGAAATTGAATCATGGTGGGAAAATAATAACTATGCAGTAAACTGAAAGAAAAAAAAAGTACTGTTTTTACATTTTCCTTTAATAGCTCCTTTAGTGAAGATAAAACAGGCTTTAACCAAACTGAAACAAGAAACCATTCAGATGGACATACGAATTGGCGTAGTGGAACACACATTACTTCAATCAAAGTTGAAAGAAAAATCAAATATGACAAGAGACATGCATGCTACTATAATTCTAGATTCTTCAATTGTTGGTACTTATTAATTTTTAAAATAAATGCTATGCAAATAAAATTTTGTACATAATATATTTTTCAATTTATGTATGTCATGCTGCAAATCTATTGCTGTGTATATAAACAAAAAGATTTATGTTTTACAATCAAGACCTACTGTGTGTGTGTTTTTGTATGTATGTGTGCCTGGGTGTGTGGAGAGAAAATATTTTAAATATAGTATATTAAAAGTTTTGGATTGCATTGCATTGAAATGAAAAACTATTCAAAAGCAAAATCCTATACAAAAATAAATTATTGTAAAACATTTAACTGTAAACACCAGCAAGATTGCCTTCATTTTTCTAAGACAATGAGCCATCACAACTTTATGGACTATATCAGACTTTCAGTTTGTAGTTCGCTGTTTTTGAGCAAAGAAATTACTAGAAAACTAATTTTGCTCAAGAACAACCTAGTTAGGTTACATTGCATTAAAGTCTTTGTCTATAATTTTGTTTTGTTAGAATTGCTAGTCCTATGAGGGTAAAACTCATCTGGCTAGATGATATGGTATAGGAGGGTTGCAAGATGAAATGGGAGGGAGCATATGGAATCCCGAGTTATGACTCAAATGGAGAATGATTGATTATTGATTTTTCTGCCAACTTGTGACATTGGCTCAGAGGGAAAAGAAATTGAAGAATCCACCAATTAGTGCCTTGAAGCTACCTTCATTAAATATGTAAGGACACAGATCTGATCTGAGTAACTGATGCCCTTTAAATCAGCTATGGTGGCAGTAAAAATGACATCAACGTACTTTCCGGTTGATTCAAACTTGTGGGAAATTTCTATTTACACAACCATAAGGAAGTACATCTGATAATCAAGCATATTTAAAATACTCAGTTAATGCTATCACTTCCCCGCCCCCATTCTTCTTACTTCGATGTGTTTCTTTCAAAACCAGGGAATATTTGTATATTTCTCTTTTCAAATTGGCTAATTTGAAACTTCCCCTAGTCACAAAGGTTTTTTAAGAACAGATAAGTAGGCATTCTGGGAGTTGAAGAGTGCTATTGTTCAGAGATTCTTGCTTTGTTTCTTATTAGCTTCTCCAAAACAGCTCTCTGGTCTCAAGAAAGTAATTTTTTTTCTCTGAGACTCAAGTGTTTAGTAGGATGCAGGCCAATAAGAGCAGATCTTGAAACGTGGATATAGAAGAAAAGAAAAGAAACAAGAGTGGAAGTAGGACAGCTCCAGGAAGAGAAAGTATTGGTTTTATAGGTAAAATTATTAAGACAATTGAAACTGGATGTAAAGAAAGAACATGTGCAAGCTGCTTGGAACAGAATGAAAAAATATTCACATGTATTCACACATGAAACATGAAAAGAACTTATGTGAATGATGAAGTGAAAAAAGGAATCAATGGATAAGAAAAACATAAAAGGATGGTTGCTAGAAAAATGAGGATGAAATAGATTATACAATGTATTTTAAGAGAAAAATAGAGAGATGAACAGAGCTCAGCAAGGAGACTCCAGCACAGAAATTGCTATTAATTTTTTTAAAAAATATTTAGAATAAAAATAAAATTTGAGAATACTTTAAGAAGTATTTTAGAAATTTGTCCTGTAGGAATTATGGTATTAAGCTAAAGAGTGGAATTGAAATATACCTGTGAGTATCCAAGGAAAAGGGGAAATCATAAATGCTGGGGAAATGTTGAAAAATAGTAAGGAATCGGGTATAGATTATATAATTGTATATGCATTTTTTTAGTATGTGTATAAAAAATGTAACTGATAATTGGAAGAATGCTTTTATTTTTCCTAAATAGATGGAAAAGAAGCAAGAGTGCATACAAAAACTAATGGCTTATTAATTGTCCTCAAGAATGTTTTGCAGAATTATGATTAAAGAGGCGGGGCTAAGAAATGATTGTGAACAAAAATGTTAGTAATACTGCAATTTATTGTAGGTACAGAATATGCAGAACATTTTTTTTCTTTAACAAATAATTTTAAAATATATGGAAAGCTTATTATATGTGTAATAAATTTTGTATGAGAAATTGTGTGATAAAATAAACTTCAATTGTGGAATGATTTGCCTGAATATGGAGTTGGGGTTGCTTTCTGAAGCAATTAGAATGATATGTAATGGAAGTGAAACATGCAGTAGTTCATTATTGAACAAAGAGTTTGATAGGATACTGTATATATCCCTGGTTGTTAAATGTGGTGTAAAGAAAACATGTTTAAGAAAGCTGCTAATGAATTAGAGGTATGATTGATTGAGAATGTAAATGAATGTGTAGTCATTGTATGAGAACAATACCAAATTATTTGCAGTGAGTGTTAGGCAGATTATATGATGCAGCATGGTGTATAGATCTGAAAATTAATCTATTGAAAAAAGATTAAAACAGCTACAGGGAGTTCTCTACTTACAGCTGTAATGGAGTCTTCCCATTATAGTCACCGTAATGCAGTTAAGTGAACACCAGCCCCCATGTTCATTAAGCAAATGCTGCAGTTGTTAAAGCAAACCAGTGGTTTTATAAAGGACAGTTTTACCAAAACCCGGAAATAAATGGCAGTTTTCAGCAAAATGAGAAGTAAAATGCAGTCACATGACTATGGGACACTGCAAACGGTCATAAATGTACCCCAGATGCTGAATGCTGAAAGTTTGGTCATGCAACTGCTGGGGGAGGGGCATTGGAATTTCAAATCCAAGTTGGCCCTCAGATACATCTGTCATAACTTTGAATATCACTAAGCAATCAGTTGTAAGCCAAAGATTACCCGTATGTATAACTGGGGGGAATTGCCTCCCCCCCTTCATTCTTGTTGATTGTTCCTAAATGACTCAAAACCTGATCAAGGAAATGGCATGAAGTATAACAAGTTATAAGTAGTAGCTGAAAAATTATAGCAAGCAAATGAATTACTGTTCTTTGGTATAATGTTTACTGAAGATTGGAAAAAGGGTGAACAATGCTAGTAAGGAGATAGGTATTAATGTGTCTAAAAAGAAACAAAAATTTCTGTGTATCAGTGCATCCCTCTACCCAATTTGTTATATGAAAGTAAGAATTGGGAAAATCTGCAGAAAGAAAGTTGAATGTAGAAATTATGAATGAGGATTTGTATGCAATACTAAGGTGTGCCCAGAAACAGTATCTGTCATATTTAATCATTAAACTTAAATAATTTTGTTTCCTGGAACCTACTTGTTGTGCTTTCCCCATGATTCATTCTGCTGTCTTGACTATACACCGTGGAGTTTCCAGGAAAAGTGAGCATAGACACCGCTGCAGTTATACTTCCTGGTTTATTTTAAATCTTGGATGGATGATATCTTGGTACATTTATCTGCTCCAGAGTCAGTGCAGCAAGCATATAATTTATGCTGGACATGAAAGATGTTGTTTTCTTTCTATGAACTATCCTTTGCTTCAGTGCCTTAATAAAACTCACTCTCACTGACTTCCTAGAGTTTAAGGGATTCTAATAATTCATCAGCAGTAACTTGGGCTGAATTCAAATGATCACTACCTATTATGTACTAAAAGGTTTATTGCATACGACTATCAATTCATAATGAGAAATGGGATCAGTACAAAGCCAGTTTCTTACTTTAAAACAACTATAGATAACTATAGGGTTTTGCTTCCTTCCTTCCATTCTCAATGGAATTGACATGGAATTGTACAACTAATGCAAGATATTCTATCAATATATTAATGTTTAATCTTAAAACCAGGCAAGCATTAACAGTCTGCTTCATGAACATAATTTTGAAAACTGTTAAGGATCTTAAACAGTCAGTGGACTCATTTATATTGTTAATTACAGGACAGGGGCCTCTTTTGGTTCTTTTCTCTTTCAGCATTCCTTGTGATACCTCAAACTGGAACCAGGACATCCTAAATCTTGCAGTACCATTTGGGTGGCTTGGCTAATAATTTATCTGTGTGTACTTAATTTTTCCTTATTACTCATATTAACATTTCTTTGATTTAACCACAATACCTGCTCGGCAATTGAATTAATTTCAGCAATTTTTTTTAAAAAATGTGCCTACTTAAATCCTCCCACTTGTTCACTCAGGATTTCTATTGTTATATAGGACTAGTATTATTAACCTCCCAACTGCTTTGTATTTTTCTGCTAAAAAGATTGTTTCTAATCGTAATAAAAACTTTTGGAATAATTTGTCATTTAAAAAGTTTATTATATGATAAGGACAGGAGGTTTTCAGGACATGGAGCTCCCATTTCAGAGCTCTATCTGATTACGTATCTTATAAATTGAGGTCAGAAGAAATACAGAATTACAACATGAGCCGCAAAATATACATAACTCTTTCAAAAAAAGATAGAACAGAGAAAAGGGCACTCTCTAAATGACTTCTAAAGCTAAGACAATCCTTTCATCTCCCATATTTGTTATATGGCATACTCGTTTGCAGCACTGGGTCTCCCCAAATTATTAAGTGAATTACCTAGCTATAAAAAAATTGCCCATCTTTGTTGTAAGTGAATATACCAATCTCTCTTCCTAATTGGTAAGCAGTATTACTCATATCTCAGGATGAATAATTTTGAATCTTTGGAATAGGATTGGATAACTGCATCCCCGCCTACTCAGATACAAGTTCCATTATGTTTAATGTGATCTATCGTCATGCAAATTGGTACAGAATTGTAATGATGTCTCAGCAGTCACATTGTCCAAGAGGAAAATATAATTGGCATGTAAGAATTGCTTAACTCCATCCAGCATTGTATTTATAAATATATGCCTATACAAGCAAAACACTGAATAAGAGTATGGTGAATTCACATCTCATAAATTTGTTGGGTGTTTTTCCTAGGCTAAATGCAACTGTAGCTTTACTATATTGTAATGTACCCGATTATTTAGAATCTAAGTTCTTACAACTAAGAAAGAAACATATGGTAAATATCTTTGTAAAGTAAGAGTGGTAAAATTCAGAATTGGAATGAATTTTTGATGCTATCTGGCTCTTTCTTTAATAGACACCCATATTTCTGCCATTTTTATTGGTATTTCTAAAAATACTTATAGGCTAAATGAAATACCTGATAACCTAAGATTTGTTCACAAGCAAGAAATTTTTGGAAAAATCCCTGTGGCATGTGGGTTTTGTAACTAACCATTTAGAAACACTAATTTTCATTTGTGTACATTTTACTCTTCTTAAATACTGTATTTGGTATTCAAAGAAATATTTTTAGTACAAAAAGTAAAATTTTTAAAAAGAGTGAAAGGTCTAGAATTTAAACACCAAAAGACAGCTGTGATACAGAAGTGACAATCTTCAACATATAGATTTGCTTTCTAGAATTTGTAGATGCAAATTCTTGCAATTTCTATGGTAATATCTGTTATAAAGCTTTTTCCTCAACAAAGAGGGAAAGGACTGACATTAGATTTTTAGGAATCTATGAAATTCCATTGGCCTTCTCCCAAAGTGACTTTTTCAGGGAAACCCTTTGATTGATAATTAAAACTAAACTGGTAGTTTGGTCTAATTTGATCCTCAGTTAACCCAATATATTTATCCATCCAGTTTTGAATTCGTGGACAGAGTAGAATAAAGTAGCACATAAAATGGGAGAAAAAAAATCCAACCATTCATTTGGAACACAAATGGGCCATATACATTTATATATTCATTTCCTCCCCCACCTACCCATCACCTTTCTTCTGGAGGCTTTTGGTAGAATCAAGGCTATCAAGTGAAAAAGCAGTTTTGCAGTAAATCTGCAAATTATTTTTACGGCTAATGGAATGAGAGAGAAACTGGTGGTGGTTTTGGAGATGTGGGGACGCAGGGAAAATAGGCAAACTTTCATTACAGGGAGAGAGAACAAACAAGGTGGGAAAGAATGAGATGGCCAGGAGAATAGTTACAGACAAGAAGTGCCATTCAACTTTTTTTTTTAAAAAAAAAGGCTTAGGAGTCAAATCTAGTATTTCTTTTCAAGTTAAAAAAAATGCAGTGCTCCCCCCTTGGGGGCAGCTTATAGGAGTTGTTTCAGTTACAAAAAGCAATTCTAATTTAATCTGCCATCTTTATAATGGGTCAGTATTCCAAATAAATTATTCTGGGATAAGCAATATTGCTGAAATGACTAGTCACCATGACCAACTTAAGTCATATTAACTTTAATGAGATGATAAATGTTATAATCAACATGTTTTGAAGGGCAGAATAGAAATCAAATTATTTTTTTTAAAAAATAAAGGTCATCCATTACTATAACATCTGAATAAATAAAATGTCTAATGCATCATTTTTATGAAGGTCTTATAGT